TCCTAAGAATGTAGGTAACGAAGATGTACATGTGAGCCACAGCAATAAGTGGAGGTGCCAGAAGAGGTCTACTAAAATACTCGGAGACAATCTTAAGACGTTGTTTCTTCCAGTAATAGTCAGAATTGTCCTGCACTACAGAGAAGGTGTAACTGTAAACAAAGAATAACCAAATGTCATCAGAACAATTCGTATCATGCTTAGATTAATAATGTATTTTTGACATCATAAAATTGAGAAACACTGAAACAACCATAGTGCGCACAAAAATAATTGACAAAAGAAACATCCAGCAAATCATGCAATATTTAGGAATGCCTAACCAGTGCCCTAGTATATAGAACCACTATAACAATGCAAAAAAAAACAACAAAAAAAACACACAAATATACATGCCTATCAGGAGGACCATTCAAACAAATGTATAATAAACATACAAAATCATTTAGAGAAAGAACTAAAAAGAAAGGGATTCTAACATGCAATAAAGTGGGATCTTTTAAAATCAGTGTTTTTAATACTTTTTAAGCAATATATTGTGATTTGAACTTTTACCTGATATCTATAATGTATTAGAATCTGAGAACAGGTGTCTATTTTTTTTAAAAATCAGTCCACACATAAAAAGTTGAAAAACAAAGTTTAAACTTTCTACTTGAGTGATGTGTATCTGTATACTAGTGGTATAAATTTCATAATTAATATTAAAGTCAGGCTTCAAAGGGAAAAAATGTTGGTATGTTGTAGAACTGATTTTCCTTTGACAGAAAAAAGTTTTGACGAAAAACTGGGTAACATTTTTTATGAGATTTTTGAATATTTAAAAACTGGGGGAAAAGGGTTTTAAAATGGGTGGTTACACCCCTTTTTCCCCCAGTTTTCAAATATTCAAATATCTCATAAAAAATGTTACCCAGTTTTTCGTCAAAACTTTTTTCTGTCAGCTTAAAACACAACTTTTACAAACCAGCTCTACAACATTTTTTTAAGTGTCCACAGTGTCATCCGGTTGGTCAAAGTAGGAGGTAGTTTTAGGGTCAATGGTCCTGAAACCATGTTCAGCACCCCATCATACCTTCATTATTGGTCTATATACCTTGCATACTTTTATACATGAAGTAGTATGAGCATATTCATCACATATTTAATTTTAACTTCATTACTCAAAAGAATCATGAGGCAAAAGTCCCCGTTAGCAGAAATGGTCCATATAGTGAGCTGTCTGGTAGTTGAGAGTGAGCTATCTGGTAGTTGAGAGGGAGCTGTTAGCAGCTCCATAAACTTAACTTTAATTGGTTTTAAGAGTCCATTGGGAGTTAACAAGAGAGTCCTGGCCAGCAACATATAGCCATTGGAATGTAAACAAGAAACCCATTACAATCACTCACTTCATCTCATGGGCTTCAGTGGCAATAAATAATTTAAGAACCCTTCGCTATTCAACAAACCAGCAGGATGTATATCCCGGGTTTTTTCCAAAATCCGGGTGCCATGGACCAGTTCTGATAATGGCCAGATATGCAGCATGTAAAGCAAAAATCTATTTTCACACAATGCTTCGGGGGAATTTTAGAGGCAGATAACATTCTAATAAAATATGCTAAACAAATTTGAATGGTATTTCTTGAAATAGGTCCCAATTATCAGTCTATGTTGCGAATTGCAACTTTTTATCTTTGTTATTCCAGATGATATAGCTTCGTAAAAACTGTACTAAGTTAAAGGAGTCATTACCAGAATGAAAAAAGACGACGTGGTACCTATATTTCAATAGGTCATTAAAAACTGCTTGGAAATTGAAGCTGAAATCTTGGACTTTTTCTTTCGACATATCAACGTATTTTTTAGAATTTTTTTAAAAAAGAAAAGTACCAATCCAATCATGGGCATGGTGGTGGATTTGACATATTTATTCCTGGCTTATTTTTACAGTATTTATTTTTTTCAAAATTATTGAAAAGGAATATTTTATCTTGTTTTTGTAATGCTTAATGACCTTTGATCAGAAATACCTGAACACCCTCTATACACTGCCTGATGCTTATGCATATGTATGTTTGTGTAAATTAATGATAATGGTCGCCCATAACCAGACAGCAATATAATACTGTTCCATGCATAGGCTGACAACCCATGGACATTCATTGATCCCTTACACCATTAAATACATACACACTCTACCAAACCATATTCACCCATAAACGAACGCTTACATAAAAAACATTAAAATGTTAATATAATATGTTGAAGCTTGCGGTACACCATGTAAGTAGTTCTGAAAAGAACTGTTGTAGTTGAGAAAGTCTCGACGTTTCGATTGAGATGCTTCAATGGTCTTCAGGAGAATAATATTTGTTTGGAGTGTCTGCAGATATTATTCTCCTGAAGACGATTGAAGCATCTCAATCGAAACGTCGAGACTTTCTCAACTACAACAGTTCTTTTCAGAACTACTTACTTGGTGTACCGCAAGCTTCAACATATATATTATTTCTTCGCCATGCATTAAACCTTTAAAAAAAAAAATGTTAATCTCACCTAAACATTGCAATAAGTAGGTTAAGCAGTAACACATTGCTTAACAACATGTATCCAGCTAATAAACAGATAGCAACCCATGAAAATTCAGGGCAGGGGTCATCAATGTCTCCGACAGATCCTTCGGTTATTGGGGTGCAACTACCAGACTCGCCTGGAAAGCAGAAAAAGAAAATTCATGTTGCATTTACTGGAAATTAAAAAAATGTGTGACCTCTCCATTGTATGGTGCAATCAATCAGCTATAACCATGGTTCTTCAATGTCTCCGACAGATCCTTTGGTAGGTGTACATCTGTAAGATTTGGAAAGCACAAAAGAAAAAACAACAAAAATAGAAGATGATTGTTGCTTTATGTATTGTAATGAATGTATGAATAAATAAATGACACTCCCACCACTTGGACCAACCAGTGAACTGCTAATTAAATTTGTCCCAAATTCCATTCACATTCTTTTACTCAAACATGATGGTAAGCGAGGGGAACAATATTTTAATAATTATTTCAATGGTTTCCTTATTCTTCATAAAAAAAAAACCTTATGAATTTGATGTAACGTATATACTACCTTCATCACTGGACTCTTTTTTAAATTTCAACTCACTGTTGTGGCCAAATTATTATTATTTTTTTATCTGACGACCCATCAGAACACCCGTTCGGCACATGGAAAGTAGTTGGATTATTCCGAGAACATAATTTACATACAGCTGATGTCTGAATTTTTCATCCACAGAAAATAATTTCTGTTCAAAGTGTATTACTATTAGACACTAGCTTAAAACAGACCCCAGGGCTTTTATCACTTTCTGACTCGAGTATTTTACAATGTACTTTTAATGAATTAAGTTTCTTATTCCATTTGGCTTCAAATTTAAACAGAGGAAGGAGAAAGACTTAGGAATAGAAATCGATAATTACGGGAAGTGAAAACAACAATGTGTGGATTCATTTGAATAAAGCCCGAAAAGCTCAATTCCGGCAAGCAAAATTGCGACAGCGGAACTTTGTAACATGGTGGGAAGAGAAGGCGATATGCCGGAGCGACCATTGGCATGAGAAATCATGGTTAGACAGTGGAAGCCTACAAATTAACATAGGTGGGTCGTCAGTTATCCAAAAGAATTATTTCCAAAGAGGAGTAAGAAATTTCAGAAAAAGGTTTGAACTTTGTTACACATGAGCCATAATAAATTTACAGTAGAGAACGTACATCATAGTAGCATCTGAATTAGCTATTGCATGATGGGAATGTGGTCAGCGTTAAGATTTCTACAATACTTCAATCTGCTAAACCATCTACTCTACTAAATTTTACAGTGAAACAGAATGCAACCCTAATAGGTCTAGTAAAGATAAAGAAATTACCATATTACCATCCAATAAAGGAAGAACTGCATTATCCTAGACACTAAAGATTATGAAGAAAATGCCATGGACCTGCTTTCAGACACCGCAAATCACAAAATCTTGAAATATAATTCTACACAAAAGCTTATAGCATTCATTGATGGAAATTTTGAACCAACGGTGGAAGGATGGAAATTAGAATGAGAAGGATAAGTCATTTTGAACCGTGGAAGTAACACCCAGATTGTGCTGCCTACCAAAGGCCTATCGTGCATGTAGATAGCAATTGAACCATTTATTACAAGAATGAAAAACTACTTACAAACATTTTAAAAACCGTTATTGGGTAACAATACTGAACACCATCTAAATAATTCGAATTAGTAAGGCAAGTACCTACTGGTGAAGCCTTGAAGTTTGTTAAAAACTTACTGGTAGAAGAAAATACCACCTTGAAGGATAGAAACAAGCTCACTGCTGAAGGCATCATGGAACTAGTATCATTGGTGATTAATACCACATATTTCAATTTTGATTCAAAAATCTACAGAAAGAAAGGTAGTATCACAATAGGCAACCCAGTAAGTCAGATAAATTGCCAATATGTATCTGAAATGGATAGAACAACAGGAAGCCTTAAGAACTGACAACTTGAACATAAAACCCAGTTTTTGGAGAAGATTATTGATGATATCATTGCTTTTCTCCAACATGCGGTCAACGAATTCAAGTCTCATGTGATCCCACACAAAATACACAGTGGCATACCCATGATTTAAGGAAGGGGGCTGAAACCGGACCACGTCATCTTTACCATGATTGACGCAGAGGTGCATAAATGTTCAGAATTTTGTACATCTTGATGCCCAAAAATTAAACTTACCGTAAATGCTTAAATAAGCGCCGCAGCTCTTATTAAATTTTTGGGGGCCTAAGCGTGGCGCTTATTCAAGAGCGGTCCTTATTTGAGAGCAGCTCTTATAAAAAAATATTAGCGTGGTGCTTTCCATGCCCTTTCCCATGTTACCTATCTCATGTATTCCCGTAGTTCAGTAGGCCTATCATAGGTCCTACGTCATTGTAAATAAAGTTTATAAAGAAATGCTTGTGTCTTCATTGTGCTATTTATTCATTTTAACACTGTATACCTTGTATTTGAAACCCTGTTTCATTACACACAGGGCAGTAAATACTCTAAAATAAGCGCAACGGCAGTGCTTAGCAAAAAAAAAAAATCAGGTTTGGTGCAGCGCTTATTAGAGAGCGGCAGTTATTCAAGCATGTGGCATAAATTTGAGCTTTGAAAATTATTATTAGTTTGATGAGTGTGGTGTCATCATCAAATAAACACCTGGTAATCATCAATAATCAATATAATACTAAAACAATCATAAGTCGAGATATATTGTGATTTCTCATCAGAAATATTTAATAAATATAAAGCTGCATGGTATTGGTCACATGGAAAAAAAATTAACCTATAATAACTACATGCCATTAACTAAATTATTACCTTCGATGTTTTCCAGAAAAAGTTCTCCATACATCTGGAAATATGATTGAAAGAACACTCCCTTGATCACTGGTATAAATCCATCTGTGTTCGGAAACATAATGGCTTGGGAAGCGACGCCGTAAGCTACCAGGAACACAAATAATATATACATAAAGAATGCTAGATCCACCACCTACGAAAAGGACATATACTAATGATGATAATAATAACAAATATCTTATTATCTTCTGCAATATCTTATATAAACAATATTACTACAGTTGTCTCACGCATAATGCAACTTTATGTACAACTATGACCAACATTAATTACAAAATTCTGTAAGACCGTGTGCACAGTTTTTGGGTTTACAAACCTGGTCTAAGCAAATACACACATATAGAAATAGATAATAAATGTCTGAAGGCCAAATCTATCTATTAGAAGAATTATTACTTTACATAATAATCAATAATTTTATTAACATTAACGTACAATGATGGTTGTGATGAAATTGTGGTAAATATGAAAATGGTGATGTAGATAGCAGTGATGGAGAAAATGATACTTATGATAATAATAATTATGGTGATAAAGATTGCAATGAAAATACAGTACAAGGTGGTGATGATCGTATTGATGATGATGCTGATGATGTCAACAATAATGATTCGATCTACAAAAATCTGATAATATATGATGAAGTTTTACTACCATTTTCAAACTTTACTGTTTGTATGAAGGTGAAATGTTCAACTCACCATTTTGCTGATCATGATCAATTTGGGTCCCAGGTTTTGGTTGACATAAAAAACATGCAGAAGGCGAATGTAAAAGATCATGAGGTCAATAGCAAGAACGACACGAGAGGCAGCAAACGTTTCCTTAAAAAAACGCATTGTGAAACCGATAGTGAACAAAATCAGGGTTGCTAGATCCACTATATTCCAGTAGTCAGTGATCCAGAATAAGAGGCGCAACCGCCAACTATAAGACTCGTGTTGTGCAATCTAAAATTACAAGGACATATTATCATAAAATGCACACTATGTATGTATGCATGCATGCATGCATGCATATACAGTATATATATATATATACAGTATATTTATAGTGAATATTAAAATCTGTCTCTTATACACATCTAGATGTGTATAAGAGACAGGTATAGAAAATATTACAAGTATATATAGTACATAGGTGGCTACATTATAAGAAATAGTGACCAATGACATAAGCTTGTCAAAAAATATGACCAATCAAACGTGAATATATAACAAAAGATCACAAAACAAAGAGAACAAAGGATGCAAATGCTTCATACTACGTCGGCAAAGAAGTGATTCATACATCGTCCGCAATAAAATATATTATAAATAAATATATATATATAAATATATATATATATATATATATATATAATGAATTAAAAATTAAAATAGGCCTATCAGCTAATATGTACGAAATCGCATACCCATTCAAATGAACTATTGATATAATGCATACAGAGAGTTAGACGAGCAGTAGCCTGTCTATAGGCTACGTCACAATCATCAGCGATACGCTGCTGCGCGCTGCAAATAAAGTAGACTAGCGCTGGACATAAGTTATGAATACCGGCAACACGCTAAGCATTAATTGGTATAATTAAAACACAAGGCAATAAGAATTAATCAGAAACATAAAAAGATATGAAATATCTCCAACTCGTTATGAATACACTATGCATGTGCCCAAAATTGAAAAAAATATTGATAGTTCAGCGTAAAGCCAGCGTTTTAGAGAATAGTCAAGTCGTGACAGGGCCATTAGGAAAATAAAGTATAGAATAATGCCATGTGAGCCTCTATGGGTCATTCTGCAGGCATGAATACAAGTCTCCACCAGTTTAAACCACGTATATCATACGACAGTCTCTCTCCTTTAATGATATTCACATGCTTTTTCCATTTCCTTTATTCCGTTTTTTTATAGATATTTAATGGCAACCTAACTAACCTGTCGGACCTCTTCAGTATACAGCGTTATGATCCAGAACAGAAGAACATATTCAGCAACAGACACTTTTTTATTGAAACTGGTTAACATGATGTAGCTGAAAAGCCCCAGAAACACTAAGTAAGATATCTGAAATGAAGATAAAATTCACTAATTAGGAATGATATCAATCGTCATTAAATAAAGCAGCGAATGAACTTGGCATCAAAGAAATCAATACCCATTACTACATTCCTTTAAACAAGTATCTTAGATTTTTTAAGGATCACTGCTCCCCAGAATTTTTTAACAGTTTTTCCAGAAAATATGAAATTTTTAATGTGAATATTAAAATGGCTCTTAAGTGTATATTTTGAAAAGTTACACAACATTTTTCTTCTTTAAATATTAGGTTACTTACAATTTAAACAACTCCATGCCATTGAATAATAAAACATAAAAATTACTTATTTTGCCTATATTACTACTGTTTCTGTTAAATATTTGTAATGGCTCTGGTATTAGCATGACACATGTTGAATAAACATGTCCTATTATAGTTTTTTTTTAAATTCCCAATATTTTACTTTAATAAACAACAAATTACCTAGAAAATGCACATCAAGTTATAACCTCTGGTTTGAGTATGCATTTTAATTATAATATGATGAGCAAATATACACAAATTTTTTATCTGACAAAATGTTGTTTAGCGCACCAGGTTATGTGTGAAAATAATTTTTGGAGAACCATAGAAGAATTTGATCCGTTGGTACCAGGAGAGTTCCTCGCCACTGTCACGAATATCAACATCATGTGTAGGGTGGTAGTACTCCTGCTTCCTATTTGTACCTCTAAAATAACAAACATACTATAAGGATAAATATCAATGGAACACTTAAGCTAATATGGCAGCCCTCTCCTGCTCGATGCATATTATGCCATCGGTCTTTAAGACCGATGGCTGCTCTCAGTCTTCTCTCATAATGCATCAGGTTGATTGGTAAATCTCGCTTGTCCTTCAGGTAGTTGAGGCATCAAGCTTCTGGCATCCATCACTTCACTCTCAGCCTACAGGGAAATAGATGATCTGGGACTGTCAGGTAAGCACTGTTTTGGATGACAGATTTGGCAGCAGGCTATACAGTAGTATCACAGCAATAGGTATTTTTTGCACAGTAAAACGAGCCACTGTGCTGAGGAGGCTCTATTTGGCAATATTAAATAGAGATTTTCCCTAAGAAACCTTGTATTAATGACTAAAGAAGCGATTTAAAAAGTACCATCCATTTCTGTAAGAAAATAGGCATACTATAAATCATAATAATTGATATAATAAATGAACAAACTAACTAAATAAGTCTCGATTTATATAGGCTATATATAAATTATGTAAGGAAATATACATTAATTTGATAATTAATATCGCACTCTGATGCCTATTGTCCAACATACACATTTTGCATACTGCACGAAAGTATAGTATGGAATGCCATTTGTGCAAAAAAATAATATGGAACACCATTAGTGCAAAAATAAATAGTTAATAAATGCAATGTATAATTCAAGAATTAGGATCCAGTTTAGGGATACTTTTTAACCTTACAGTATGTAAAATCTGTTTTGAATATTATAATCATATGTTTCAGTTCAGTTGAACTAATGTCGATATTTAAAAAAATTGTTTCATGAACTTCAATGTTAAAGATAACAAAATACATTTTAACTTGATATCACAGGGATCAATATTGTACACTATAGGCTACGCCCGACTGAAAATTTACTTTCATGTGATTTACTATAAAACAAATGCAAGTTACTGTACATACTAAATTTAGTGAAGTATTCAAAATTGGTAATGGTTATAATAATACACCTAAAAACTGTTTGGAAATTGAAGCTAAAATTTTGGATTTTTTTCTTTTGATATAACAAGGTATTTTCAGATTTTTTAAAAGGAAAATCCAAAAGGGAGTCACAAGGACATTTCTGGCTGATTTGAGCCGGAATGACCCTGAACGGAAAGATGCAGAAACATCTCAGAGCAGCCAATTGTACATTCACTGTACAAAAAATGGTGCAGCAGCATTAGATCTTTCTCTGGCAATGCCCCAGGAAACCTGATAGTACATTCTGATTTGTAAAATATTTAGTGTCTTGGTTATTCATACAATATGCAACAAGTGCCTATTACAACTTGTTAATTGCCTGTTGCATTTTACCAAGCCTAACAGGTTTATACAGGTTTTGGCAGGGACCTATTGAGTGGCCTGTTAATTCTTTTCACATGTAATAGGGACATGTTAATACCTGTTGAAATGTAACAGGCAACTAAACAAATGTTCTCCTGGGAAGTTAAGCATCTGATCAGTTCTCTAGAGTCTACCAAACAGAAAAGTGGATGCATTGGATTAAGGATCTCACTGTTTTTTATTTTCACTTTTTCTGACAGGCTTGTCTCTTTGGCTTTACTTTTCAGTGGGAGGTTGTCTGTAAGAAAAATCCTTGCAGTTTCGGGCTTCCAATCGTAAGGTTAGGGTTTTGAGTATCCGCTGTGCAAATTTGCTTGTGTCCTTGCGCAATGCATTTTTTTTACATTGCTTCAGTCCACCTAGCTGTATCAATGGGTACCAACAAACTGCTGGGGACTAACCTGCGATGGACTAGTGTCCTGTTCAGGGGAAGTACAACTCTCATCCGCTTCACACTACAGAAACAGGGAACAAGCTCCAGCCCTATGAGCCCTAGTGACCCAGAAAAGATTTAAATTTTTTTTTATGTGTTCCATATGTATTTGATCCAATGACCAGAGGGAATTATGCTAAGCACATGGAGGTCACTACAATGTGCGCTATATATGTCAACAATTATTATTATTATTAAGTTATGAATGCAAGAGCTGCTAGTTCATTGAGGTCAGCTTACCCAGTTGGTTTTGCAGGTTTGACCATCTCAGGACTTTCATTCTAGAAAGAATTGTATTGTAAAATATACATCAAATCTATTATCACTATCAACATCACCACCATTTTATCATCAGTAAAATAAGCACCTCCATCACTTATCATTGCCTACATTAGAATTAATCTTTCTTATCTATTATCTTTAAAATCTAATCATATTCTACCTCATACCAATTTAAACTTACTGCTTTGATAAATTTCTTGAGTTTCGAACTCGATCTATCTGGTAAATGTTCAACTTCACGGAATTTGATGAGAAAATAAATGAGTGGTGGACAAGCAACACACAGGACCAGCTGTCAATAAAAATTAATGCATCATTGAGAAAAAACTGCCTGATTATTCTTCCAGAGCAACATTAACTCTGTTAAACTTACCATGCAACTTGGGAAAGTTAAGTGGGGCTGTTTGCCCTGAATTTTTTCTTGGTTAACTTATACATGTTTGATGTGGTAAAAAATTCCTATCAGAATTGATTTAGTCATTTGATGTTCCAAAATGCACTTCTTGTAGTCTAAAAGGACAAAATAGCAATTAGTTTTTAAGACCTGGACTTCCTTAAAAACAAACTTACAATTAAATTGGAATTTTCTGTGGAAAGTTTTCCCATCCAGATATCCGTCAACAGGTACTGGATTCCTTCATGATTAAGAAACTTCTTCATTTTGCCCTCAATGGCCAATCTAAAACATGTAGCACGCCCCCACTGGTGAAGCTCCCGAATCAGATTGATAGACATCTTTTCCTTATCATCATTGTAACACTCATTAAGAACACCAATGGCATTGTCTTCAAATACACTAGTGAAATATAATATCAATGAATATTACTATACTAATTTGTGGGGGGTGTTTTGGTAGGTAACTGGTTATATTTGTGTCTTCTGCCTGTGGGGAAAGTGGAATTAGTAAAAATTGTCTGTATTAGAGCAATTCCAGTGGGAGGAATATTAAATGGGATATCACACATACAGTCATTGTGTATTAGTTTAGCCTATCTAAATGTTATACCTACCCTGCAATATTTTCTTCCTGTGTCAATAATTTGGAACAAAATTAGGATTGTGAAATCGTTGGGGGTCAACATGCAGAGTAAAATTTTCGTAAAAAATTAAACCTGAGAAAACAGCTACATTTGGTGCTTTACTCAGACCCCACACTCTGTCAGTCTACAGTAGAAGGCCTAGCATTACGTTGTAAAAATAATACAATACCAGTTAATACAAATAAATTACATTTTTCTAACTCTATATAATTTAAAGGCTTACAACAATTCACTAATTTAGCTGTCACTTAATGTCATTTATCTACACTTTACCATGGTGACAAGTTTCTGTTTATTCACGGTTTACAAAATTATCTGTGAGTACAAAATAAACGCAGGACATACAACATCATCACGCAACAAACATAATCATGTTGAATAAGATGTTGAATTTATGTTGTTGAATCAACTGACCTAATCTCTCTGTCGATTCAACCTCATTGTACAATGTTGAACCAACGTCACATCACAACATTGTATCAACAATGACGTTTAACAGTGAGTTGAATTTACGTTGTTCAGTGACTGACGTAGTATTAACGTTGATTCAACAATCAGTGTTCACCGTTATGGATCAACCTTGAACTGATATTCTGCATCAAACCAACATCTACATCAAAAGTGTATCAATGTTTTAAAAACAATGTAGCGTATGAAGACTCCAAAAGTTTTGATTCGTTCATGTATTCATCTAAAAATCTGTAAATACTGATTTGACCGAGTCCATATTCGAAAGAAAAGTCATCTGTGTTTAGCCAGTGGTAAAGAAGTCCACTGAGCTGTTTTGATTACCGAACCATGTGTCTGTCGCTCTGTACCGTCAGCAAATATATTTTTGTAGCAATTAGATACAAGTAATTTTAAATGTTGATAACTATTGTACATAGGTTGAATTGGCATGCATGCAAGAAATTTAATGTTTGTATATTCTTGTATAATTAATAAATTGTAAGCCACTTTCATATACATTTTCAAATGTTGACGTTTTAGTTTAGGTATGAATAAATTCTGTAGATTCTTTTATTCTTTTTTCATTTGTATTGTAAATTCAGACAGATTTTCAACATTTCTGTGTTAACTTCTGACTGGTTTTATTAACAAAATGAAAAGAAATGAAACAATCTTTGTTATACAAAAAATGTCTCTCACTCTGATAATCTTGACAGGTCCTCCTTATGGTCATCATCATAGTGTTTTTCAGACATATTCCTGAGGATCATACAGGAGGTGAGGGCAGCAGCAATCATCTCTTTACACTGTTCCCAAAAGAACTGAGACATCTCTTCACGACCTTGTAGAACAGACCAGATCAAAAGCTCTCGAACTGGGTTATCAAATTTGTTGAGATGCTCACCTGCATGGATGAAAAAATGAAAGTTTATTTATTCTTTAGTTGTGACAAATAGCTTAGCACAATGATACATATTTTATAAAATAAACAAAATTTTAAGTAACATAGTGAAAACTTGGAGACATCTGCTCACTGAATGGTTCACTGCACACCTTAACACAGTAAATGAGTCAAAACGGGACCCTATTTTCTCACAAAATCGACTATATAATTTGAATGGTTTCATTTGGCAATCTGGGTCGATCAGATTATTAAACTAGATGTTTTAAGCTTTATAATCATCTATATATTCTTACAATTAATGCAAAATTGAGTGATCATTTTTCTTTCAAAGTTGACTACCTCTTATGCTTTTGCATAGGGAAAAGGTTAAAATTAGAGTGTTTTTTGGTATACTTCCTGCTTCTTTTTTCCATAACACTGCAACGACAGGTCACTAAACTTTGGGGTGAACGGTCAATTGTAGCTCATAAATTAAGCTTTCTTGCCATGTAAGTCCCATGGTTGCTTAAATAACCATTGATAATTTTTTCTTTAAAATTTTGTATTCAGAACTGTTTTTACCCTGTCTATGAATGACTTCACAAGCTTAGGGCCAATAGCAGCTACGAATTTCAAGTTTTTTGTGGTTAGTGCGTTCATGCATAAGATGTAGGTCAAATTTACCTGAATGAGCATTTGTCGAATAGGGGAAAAGTGAATATGATTGAGAAATGACAATTGGTTAGGATATGATCGATAATGTAAAAATGCAAAATTGTGCGTAGATGACGTCACGCATGACTGGGCGCGTTGAAAAGCTTACTGAGACTATTCCAGGCCAAGCCAAATGTTCGTTGAAGTGGACATGTTCGTAGCTCATGGCAATTTCGAGATATCGTGCAAACAGGAAAGGGGAGAAAGAAAGAAGAATAAAAAAACGATGATGATAATCTCTGACAATAACAAGAGGTGATCCGCTGGTGAAGCGGATCACCAATGATCTCTGACAATGACAAGTTAATTAGAAGCAGCTAAACAATAACAATAGCATAAAATTCACGATGGAGCACTCTGTTACCATATACTGCATCTGTATGAAACGGTTTCGGCAGTGAAAAATCTTTTTGTCATATTCTGTAAATAAAATTGGTTAACAATTTGGCTATCAGCAAAAAAAAATTAAACAGGCCTATCAGATAAAATGTTTACAATATTTATAATAAATATATAAAGTTTAATTAAGGTAATAATATGTAGATCTTAAGGAAAATTAATAACAATCTACAATTATACACACATGGCAGTGGTGGCTATAGTAATTTTCCGACAGGGAGTCCAACATGTAGGGTATCCGCTGTGTACGACCTTTCGTGCATTCTGTAACCATGGCTGTAACTCTTTTGCTGACAACCACTGATGCAGTTATCAAGTCCTATGTATAATCATGGTGTAATCGATACATCGTTACCACGCCACATTTTTTGTAAATGCGGTGATGGATTTGTAGGCCTAACATTTTCCGCAGGGGATATTTTACACATCCATTTGGCACATCCTCTTCATTTATTGCAAATAAACAAAATTGAGCATGGGACGAGGGAATGAATCTCTTTTATAGAGAATCTGCTGTGAGAGACTGCAAAATTTTTGAGATGAAAAATTAATCATTTATCGGTCCTAAGCCCTATATTTTTAACTCCAGTTATAAAAGATTTAGATTTTATATGCATTATTATCTCCATCACTTTGAAGTAAATGGTGTTTTAATTACGTTGACAACTTAAAATCCCAATTTAACTACCCTTTCTCTGTTGAATGCATTCCCCATATACGCGCACCAACACACTTCTATCCAAACTCAAATTAATGTGTGTGTCTCAAAGGGAGTGATATCAGGTCGGCTGCCTTACCTTTAAAGTTATCAACAACTTTGCTCCCAGTTACCATGTGGAGAAAATTTCTAGAGTCTCTGCCCATGAGCTATAAGAAAGCGAGCTTCAACCAGAGGTGACTTAGCTTGTCTTAAAGTCAATTTGGAATGTTTTAAACGTGCATTTAGTTATCTTTGTCCTAATTGTTATAATAATTTACCAATTGAGCTCTGGGACTGCAAAATAGAAAATACATTTAAACTTAAGTTAAAACAATATATTTTAATCTCTTAGCCTTTGTTTATTGCTGTTTTATTGAAATATTCTTATTATTACATTGTTTGATTTTATTCTATATTATATTATATTATATTAGGCATTATAAATTAGACTTCTATTTTGAATTATGTCTTTATGTAAGTCAATTTAATACTTTTAAGACTTGTATGAGTATTGTACATTATTGTTGTTATTATTATTATTATTATTATTATTATTATTATTATTATTATTATTATTATTATTATTATTATTATCATTTTATTATTATTACTATGTTGTAATGAAGTTGTTTGTACTGTTTTTTAAATTTTATTAAAGAGGGCCCCTGAATATCAGTTAACCTACTGGGCTAAAGTGGAAGGGGTACCCTTCTTTAAAGATGGTAAAATAAAAAATTTAAAAAGTAGGCTAGGCTTTCTTTGAAGTCGGCCTAATTGGCTGCTGTTATTCCTACTCGAATGTAATTACTTGTCTTGAAGTCCAGGCATCTCATGTCGTCCAACTCAAACTAATCAAGATCGCTGTGTGCCCAGTGTATTTGAATATGTCTGGTATATATAGACTAGACCAGTGCGAATTTATATTGTAAACAGACCACGTGACAGGCCCAAATGGATGGTGACTAACAGGAATGATATCGTAAAAAAATAAATACCTGCTGTATGTCTAACCATGTTATACGCTAAGAGATCTGGCTAGCATGTTAACAATTAAGGATGCATTTTCTATCTTTCCTGCAGAAAATAACAAATTTTATATTGAGTAGGCCTAATAGTTTTCTCTTTAAATCGGGAGGCACAATTTAGTCAGGACCAGTTAACAAATGCTATTGATAAATAAACAAAAACTCGTTTCACCATTACCGACATTTAGTAGTGTAGGACCTTTGATAACAATACATGACTTGTTCTGCATTGTTAATGTTGCCAAAAATTGGGTAAACACAGCACGCAGTGGTGCGGGGCTAGGCCTAATCGTAGTCACTTTTCTGCTTGATATCTCTTTGTGCGCAGACAATTTGTTAATAAAATATACTGCGTGTTGTCAAGAATCGGAATTATCAGTATAATTATAAATTAGTATTGTAAAAGCATTGCGCATGTACATGAAAGTAGCTTATTCTAAAAGTGCTGGTCCATGGATATGTTCGGCTATTGCAAGCTTCTTAGAGGCCGATGATATCCAGATTATGCATAGGCCTATGACTTGATATGCATCAGCGGTTATCAACAAACGAGTTACAACCATGGTTACAGCATGCACGCAAATATCGTACGTGGCGGAAAACCTATGCGGCGCTATTTACATGATCTTTAATTGTTACTTTTTTCGCCAGTGACATCACAGTAAACTTCATAAACAATTGCCAAAAAACGATTTTAAGGTTGATTCTATTATTAATGGCATATCAAAAATCTCCTCTAGAACAAAAAATCATTTTGCTAGTTCATAAACAATAGCCGAAAAACGATTTTAAGGTTGATTCTATTATTAATGGCATATCAAAAATCTCCTCTAGAACAAAAAATCATTTTGCTAGTTCTCTTTTAAAGAGTCACCAATATATTACTATTATCATTAACACTATGACAGTTTCTCTTGTATAAATCCACCCCTCTTGTTGCAATTAAAAAAGCTATTTTTTAGTAATGTCTGCCTCATTTATATCAGCCAATTTTTTTTTATATTTTTTTTTTAATTAGAAAAAAAAATCATATAAAGAACCCAATTAAATCATATTGTCTGCTTTTGCCTGTGAGGAAAGGCTGGTAAGTAAATTTGGATGTAAAGCAGGAGATAGGCTTATACTTGAACTACATTAAGCCCGGCATTCACTGTGTCATACGACGATCGTACAACCGTCGCACAATGAACCAACCCCAGTTTCCTGCGAGCACTAGTCGATGCAACACCGTCTGCTGATTGTCGGAGGCAGTCTGAAGAGATCGTTATCAAAAACGATCTGTCGCACACGCTTTATTTTTAAAATAATAATATATTTAATGCTTGCAGTATACCACATAGATACGGTATTATTATTTCAATGATTATTACTGTCAAATCAAACAGTAGAAAATTACATACATCAAAATTGTATTGATAAAAAAATTGTCACTTACAATTGGTAGTCTGAGCTATACCGACTGGTAAATCATGTTGCTCCATTGACTCGAAAGCACCTGCCTCAGACTCGTTCTCTACTACGTCTCCCGTAACAAAATCAATCTCGCCCTCTACCCACAAGTAACGTACTAGATCCTGGAGGTAAAGTGGTTCGTATGAATCCATCATCATCTCTTTAATTACCTTCCCAACATCACATAGATTAAATTTTCTTGTGCTCTGAAACGATAACCGAGGGTTATTTGGAAACTTTTCCATGTTGCACCCAGTTTCTCATATTTATGAAGATTGTTGTCAACATGTTGGATAACTCTGCTCTAGATATGTTTTAAAAATAGTAACAAAAATTTACATTTTATTAATAATTAACTATTCAACAGCATAAAAAAAGCACATCTCATAAACAGCAAACTGTTAATTATGAATCGTTTGCCAAATGCACATCCAGCTAGCTAATAGGTGCACATCCAGTTGATGGATGTGCTATCGTATGTCGGGTGGTAGCAGTAGCAGAGCCGAGGCTATATTCTGAGGTGGAAGCTACCAGAGACCAGCATACTGCCTAACAGAGTGCCTGCTTGAACCCTGGTGTGACAGCAACGTTGTTTCGACATCGATGGGTGGGTGGAGGCCTGTTCGCCTAGACACCTATGCTAATAGCACATATGCATATCAGAACTGTTTTATAGTTTATGTAAAAAAAATTACTATGATTTATTTACTACAATATGGTTCAGTTGTGATTAATTTAAGTTTCAGCAAAATAATTAATTAATGCTTATGATTTTATTAATGGTGTTTTACTTTTTCAAGGTGTCAAAATTTTGATTTGCTGTCAAAATTCACCAGTACAGGTAATATATAGACAGGGGCATAGGCTGTGAGGGGTGCGGGTGGTGCACCCATACACCCCCAAAAAAGGCAAAAAAGTTCCGCTGGTGTAGGCTTAAGCCTAGGCCTGCCTAGTACTACAATGGAAAATTTACAGGGCAGAAAACAAAACTTGATTAGGCCAATAAAGGACTGTACACTTATAAACCTGATGATATGCCTCGTAGTAAAACATAATAAAAACTCATTTTTTATCCAAAATGTGAATAAAAACTACAGTAGTTCGAAATAAATACAGTGTATTCTTTTTCTTCCTTATTGTATACATGCCAGCGCTAATGTGCCCTCGTACTCATACAGCCATTGTTTCTTTCCACTAAGCGAATTAGCCCAAAATGCGATTTTATTTTATTACACCCTAAGACAACTATACTTGTATACCATAAAACATCAAAATGAAGTCCTTGGCTTTTTTGTGGCAAACTTTGAATGGACACCTAACTTGGGTGTTTGATAAGCAATCGACTGGCGCAGCGGTGTTTTACATGGAGATTGCTATTGGGGCCATCCCTTGTTATTGCTGTAAAGATCATCATAATTCTCAGTAAACTATACATTACCAAATTGATTGGAAATTCAACTTAAGAATTTTGCCTTTAATGGTTTTCTAATGCTGTAAAGGATACTGGCTGCAAACACTGAGATTTTTTAACAAATGTTAGGCCTAGGCTCCTGCACATCTACAGCATGTTAGGTATGCATTATAGTCTTCAACCCGCGAACTTCACTGCGATGTTAGGGCCAGCTAAGGTTTATAAAGTATCACATAAATTTCAAAGCATGTAATCCCAGGAGAACGCTAGGATAAATAAATAAACACTATTTTGAACAATCTTATTGCCTTTCCTAGCCATGATTTACTTTTCACTTAAATAGTGGGTGGTTGTTTTCGCAACCATAACATTATCTTTTCCTATGCTATCACACTGTAATTTTTTTTTCATGTATACCCATGTTTTGTCACGTGACCGCCAGTAAACAATCATCGCTGAATCCCTCTATTACAGCCCAGGCCCCACGGCCCTTTAATATGGCCTAGCTACTTTTTTAAAACTAAAGAGGGGGCTTCAATTAGAGATGGGTTTCTTCTCGAGATTAAGCCCATTGGGCTTCAATTTGAGGTTTAACCTTAGTTCAATTGTCTCAGGTTACACCCATGGGCAGTTCAATATTTATTTGTTCTTTACTGCGCATGCTTATGACTATGAACAAAAATTCATGATTAGCACTATTGGGCGGACGTCTGCATGAAACTTTTTTGCCAGTGGATTGCGACATAAAAATCTTTTAGCCACACTGTATTTAGGCCCATACTTGTAATTACAGCCCCAGGCCCCACAGCCCTTTAATCGGCCCTGGCTACTTTTGCAAACTAAAGAGAGGCTTCAATTGGAGATGGGCTCCTACATGAGATTAAGCCCACTGGGGTTTAATTCAAAGTTTTACGGTAGTTTAATTGTCTCAGATTACACGCATGGGTAGTTTAATACTTATCTACAACAGGGGTGGGCATTAAAAATCATTCGGAGGGCCAAAATGACTTTCGCAACTCCCTGGCCCCTTGCGCCTGGCTCGGGGCCTTCAGTCCCTTCATGATGCCACTGATCCTTTGTAGATCTGAATTTACAATTTTCGCATCCACTCCGATGGGAACCACTGTATTCCCCTAATAGTTATTGTTTTCCGTTAAACAAGTATCTTTGTATTGCAATAACTAACCTTATCTCTCTCTCTCTGTCTGTCCAAGTACTTATAAATTAGAGTTCCCTCTTTCACCTAAAAGGATAGGCAAGTAGAACATTAAATTACTTAGAAGTATAGTTGGTCTAAAATTAATTTTTTTAAATGGAGTTTTACATTTTTTTCTTGTGGAATAATATTATTATATTTTACTATGATAAAGAACTTTTTACATTGTTCCTACCTCATTGTATAAAAGAGTCAACTCTCGTAGGGTTAAAAAGTCCTTTAAACTAACACCATGCTCGAGAAACAGCTTCACAAAATCCACTTGATTATGCACTAAGGAATAATGCAGAGCTGAATCAAGCTCTCCCTTCTAAAAAAAGAAATATTTAAAAAAAAAATCCACAATCGATCGTCTCAAAAGATTGTCCTCTGATCCTTCTTAATGTCCAACATATTATTATGCCCATTGTAAGTTGTAGTACTATATTTATGTAGCAACCAAGTACCTGTATATCATTACAGCTTCATGTTATATCATCCTAATATCAAATACCATTGCTATGTTATGTCATGATACAGTACAGTACTTGAGAAATTTTAAACAATTATTTGTAAGTCTTGTAAAACATTTTAAGATTTTCTTACTGATCATTTTATCAGCTGCAGTAGCATACTAAAATATTAAACAGCTTAAGAATGATTTTCAATTATTTTGGAAATGTTATCAGGCAAGGAAATCCCACCACTCCTACAATGTGAACAATGTGGGGATTTAATGTTGCTCCAAAGTAGCTCCGACTTAATAACATAATTCCTTTTTCAACAACTCAGTCTTTCTTTATCACAATTGGATTGGATTGGATTTTTTCGGTGTAAAGACCAAGGATGAACACAATATGAATTTCACGTCGTCACGCCCACCTCAGCCCACCATGGTTGGTGAAAATAAGTGGTAAATGATCGAGCTCTCCTTTCGCCCACTGCTGGATCACCACTGAACTCATGGGTGCACTCTTTCACTCTTTTTTGCTCTTTCCTCTCTTTAACTCAAATTTGTCACCCTCTTTTTTATTTTTCGGCTTGACTGACGGAGGGGGGGCAGCCCTCATGACACCCCCGCCCCCTCCCCCTACTCGCTGGATCCACGCCTGTTATTTTAAACTGTTACATACCTTATATTCTTTGTCATCAGAAAAAAGTACACTCTTAGCAATGTCAATACGATTCCACACTAGCGTCAACTTCAACTTGTTTTGCTTGCTTCCTTTATTAGCTAAAGGTCAGCATGTAAATTTATCATCAAAATTAAAGGTTAAGTATTAAATAAAAAATAATTAAAAATATACATAAATACACATGTACATAAAACAAATTGTAATATTAAACATGCATAAAATGAACTGTTTATTTCACATATTAACAATTATTTTCATAAAGGAATAGATAAGAGAATACTTTTTTGCTATGTAAACATAATTATCCTTGGTAAATAAAAAGTAATATGGAAATTAAATTTACAGTACAATATCTTAATAGTTACTGAATACACCAGGTTAGTTATCTGGCGGTCATGGTTTTAATTCTCACCCAAATCACTTGCACAATTTTTTTTGCAAGCATTTGGGAGTGTACCGAGTATTGTACATTGGTACAATAGCATGTCAGATAGGGCAATAATTGTTCATATTATTTCTCCAGACGCAAAAAAATAAAAAGCCATTTGAATAGCATTGCATTACCTGACACTGCTACTTGGGGATGAGATTTATCACTAACCATGGTTACATATTGAATACACCAGGCTAGTTACCTGAAGATCATGGGTCTGATGATTCTTGCCCGAATCCCTTACACAATTTGGGAATGTACTGAGCATTCAGTACAATACAGGTAGAGCAAACGTTAGTTTGTATTATTTCTCCAGATACAAAAAAAAACACAATAAAAATGCCATCGGAATAACAATATTGTAATATACACCAAAATAAAAATAAGGTCTGGCAAAAAATTTTTGGTATGACTTTAATTGCTGTTAAAAGAAAATGCTGGTTCTGGCCTGGGAGAAGAGAAAATGTTGGTTCTGGCCTGGGAGAAGTGAAAATTGTGAATGCAGAACAAAATTGCGTTACTATGGTCATATTTATTTTTCCAACCCACTTTGCAGAATGAATTTGTTGTTATAATTGTGTACAGTTTCAGTCCTATCTATGCCCCTGTAAATAAGTTTTTAATACCTTTCATTAAAGCATGTAAAATAGCTTCATCGATATCTTTGAGACCGGTTGATGAGTCCATATCGTACACATTTAAGAGGTCAGTCTTCTCAACACATTCTTGTATGCGATTCAGATGCAACTCAACGTTCTTCTCACCAAACTCCTTTTTGATTAGTTGTGCTAACTTTGCTCTCAAATTGTCATCAATAACCACCTTTTTTCTATCAGATAATGATATGCCATTTTAAAATATTTTTATCCTAATTTTTAGCTTAAAAAGTATAAAATACTTTCAAAATTCAGATGCAACTCAAGGGGCGTTTCAGTAACCTTCTTCTCACCAAACTCCTTTTTGATTCGTTGTGCTAAGTTTGCTATCAAATTGTCACCAATAACCATATCATCAGATAATGATATGCCATGTTTAATTTTTTTTTTCCTAATTATAAGCAACAAGAATAAAATACTTTCAAATTTTGAGTATGAGACTACCATGTTAAGCCATCTAGAGATGCCTTAAGCCCCCATCGCACTGGACTTGGTTAATTTGACCAATTTAAGTCACTGGATAAATTGACCAAAAATAAAAAATAATCCAATCCGAACGTCGGTTACAATTCCCTCAGAGTTAAATTAACCAAGCCGAACGGTTAATTTTACCGACCTCAGCCTGCCCAGTAAAACTTACCACGGTCTTGGTTAAACTAACCACGCTGGTCAATAAGTCCAATCTGAACGTGCAACACAGAAGTTGAAGTCACAAACTAGCGCCCTCAATAATATTTTTTATACACACGGTTAAATCGTGGTAAAACTATAACTGCGTGAATAATCCAAGTGCGAACAATGGTGAAATGTACCCATGACTTTGGTTAAAGTTACCCTGGTTAAATTTACCATTTTTAAAATCCAGTGCGAACAAGGCTTTACACCATAAAATTTGTTGCCTTTTGTCCACAACCATGTGGTGAGGCTGAGTTAATCTGGACCTAATCAATCAAATTCTTTATTCATCAATATATTCCATAAAAACATATAACAAATGCAAGGAAAATATAATTAATAAAAATATGAATGTATACTAAAAAAAAATGCAAGTGAAAACGACGATGAAATGGACCTCCAAGAAACTCAATGGAGCTTGTAAATAGGAGGCCCATCAAGCTAATGCTTGTTGTTCGATAATAATCCATGGGAAACAGCTACAGTAGCCTAAGAAAAAAAGAAATAAATAAATAAAGCTAAGCTTCTACCTAACAGACATGGGATTAAAAGTTTAATAACTACCCCCCACCCCCTTAACATTCTATTTCGAATACAAGGATCGGCCACTGCGAATTAGAAAACTGATCTGATCTGAAGCTTGGTTTTCTACCTTTTCCCCAAGTTATAATAAAAGGCAACTTTAAGCCTGGTTTCCTGTCGACGTAAAAGTCAAAATTTCTTACGATTCATATGTTTCTTACAATTTTTTTCGAAACTTACCCGAAGTTGAAATAATCCCGATGTCAACGACGTTTGTCTGGATCGTGTCGGGCCGCAGATAAAAAAGCAATTTTTAGCCGCTTACGAAAGTTAAACTTTACAACGTTGGACTCAATTCAGTGTCCTAGGGAGCGCTTGCAACTGCTAAGTTGAGTTGAATTTGTTCTTGTGGTACGACAACATAGTAAATGATGTAATTTGTAGTTCTTACGATTGGCTGCCTTCTTTCCCACTAATCCCAACCTTTTTGTACAGGATTTTCGTACGAATATTAGGGCTCTACCTCTTTATCTGAACTAAGTTACTTTATTAAAATACAAATAGGCCTATTTGATGTTTGTAAATATTATTTTGTTTTACAAAAAAAAATGATGCTTTGAAGATTCCCTAAATTTTAATTCTGTAAACTTCGGCCTCGAGGTGCTTGTCACCCAATCTACTTTGAAAAAGATATACTCTGAAAAAACTTCCATATGCGGGAAAGTTTGATGGGTGGTAAACTTTAGTACTAATTGACAAATTAGATAAAAAAAAAAAAAAAATGGTCCTCACACCCTCCCTTGCTTGGAGTTTGTAATAAAATTTTGTTATTCTTTTCATTTTTTACTACACTTGTCATTGAAATTTAGCAACCAACTAATTTTTTGCAGTACAGTATATTATTATACAATCATTGTCGTCATTATCATAATCAAACGCTGCTGCTGAGCTAGTGCTACTGTAAGTCAGAAATGTATTTGTGTGTAACTGTATAAGAACGCATTTTATAACCTCAGGTTCTATAAGAAACCTGGGGCACTGGCGGTGCCAGGATTTTCCAGACAGGAGTCCAATGTAGGCTGAAATTGCTTTAAAAATTTAAAGATCAAGAGGCTGAGGTAAAATTCCAAAAGCGGTTATTTTTTTTTAATCTAGAAAAACCATCAGAACCTTGAGAGGTAAGTTTCAAAGGAAGCTTAGGCATTTATCGGTTTATCCAGGTAAGTATTTATAAAATAGACTATGTTGGTCTTACTTGTACTTTGTCCACAACCATGTGGTGAGGCTGAGTTAATCTGGACCTAATCAATCAAATTCTTTATTCATCAATATATTCCATTATCGGTTTATCCAGGTAAGTATTTATAAAATAGACTATGTTGGTCTTACTTGTACTTTGTCCACAACCATGAGCCACAAAAAAAATTGTTTTGGTTCTTATAAAAAAAAAGTGTAGACCTATGGACACTTGCTTCTTAATTATTAATTGCACAATTTAGAAATACATGATTTCTCGATCCCAATTATTTAATCATATAACTATTTTTTGTTTTATAGAACCATTGGAAATAGAAATGATTGGCATGAGAATTATTTGTAAACTATTTGCTTGGTATTGTACGATTGCAAATGAAACAAATCCCTGCTGTCTCTTATACACATCTAGATGTGTATAAGAGACAGCTGTATCACAATCTGGCCAGTTTCAGCCATGTCAAAACATGGGCACGTCGTAAGGCCTACATCATCTGAAGACAATTGAACACCTCAATCGAAACATCGAGACTTTCTCAACTACAACAGTTCTTCTCAGAACTACCTACGTGTACCGCAAGCTGAACAACATATATGTTATTACTTCGCCATACAAACCTTCAAACAATATCATAATTCCCGTCGCTGATTGGTTGCTTATTACGATTTCTGGTCTGTATTGCTACGTCTCTTACAAAAGTAGACTTAAAGTCAACTTTCATAAGAGATGTAACACAAGGCAACGCAAGCATGTTCACATAAGCCTAAGTCACTGAATTGAGGTTTCCTGTCAAATCATGGAAAATCGATGTATTGCAGAAAAATTCAATGTCGGTTTCCTGTCAAACACTGTTTTGCGACGATTAACCTTACGTTACATAGATTTCATGACGCACCAGTCGCAATCGTTTTTCTGTCAAATCTCATTTTGTTACGATAAAACGAAGTATCATCATCATCATCATCAATTTATAGTCCACTATTATTCCATGCAAGCATGGGTTAGACTGTACTTGTAATGGCAACTTTCCATTCTGCATGATTCTGTGCAAGCTCTTTTTTAAATCCCTTTGCAAGAAGGTCATCTCTAATCACGCGAGTCCAGGTTTTGCAGGGTCTACTACGTCCACTATAATACCATAACCACAAGATGTTGGACCTTCCACAGCCAGTTGTCTTCATCTCTCCCTTTCTGCATGACCAAACCAACGTAAATGTCTTTGCCGCATCACATCCAGAATTGAGGTTATACCACTACTGTAATTCTTCTTAGCTCCTCACTAGACTTCCTTTCCTTTAAGGTCATACCACACATCCAACGGATCATTGACATTTCATTTCTGTATAATCGTTTGGCATCCTCATCTTTGATAGGCCAAGTTTCACTGCCATATGTCATAGCACTGCGAATGCATGTTTTGTAAAGCTCACCACGCATTTTCAAAGATACTGCTTTTGTTGTTAAAAATGTTAATAGTTCTCTGAACCTTTTCCAACCATTCCTCACTCTGGTGATAGTGCTTGATTCTGTCCCCCACCAGCATCTAACATATCACCAAGGTAACAAAATCTATCTACCACCTCAAGATTACTTCTAGCAAGTACTGTAGCATCATTGTTGAGATGTTTTCGTCTGCACATATCACCAAGGTAACAAAATCTATCTACCACCTCAAGATTACTTACCAGTAAGTAGCATCATTGTTGGGATAGTTTCGTCTGCTTCTTTACTACTAATACAGCTTTTGCACACAAAATCGAGGACTTTAGAAAGACTACCCTTAACACCATTGCATTTTGCATGGACCCAACATTTACAAGAGGTACAGAATATTGAATTCCTGCCAACACCTTTCCGGCAGACACCACAAGGCCTTTTACCAGTCTTGTTTTGTGATTTGTTTCCACTTCGAGAGATCATTACTTTAGTCTTCTCTGTATTAAATAATACATGACATAGTCGTAAGTAAAAAATCTGTCTTCTTGAATCGACAGTAAACAAGGCTTCAGAAATAAACATGAAGACTACTCACTCTTTACTACCAATGTTATCGAGAACTTCAACTTCTCTCGCTCCTTGTGCAGCAAATGCAAGAATATTTGCAGCACGTCCCGAGCCAGCTACAATTACAGCTGGGGTACCCTTCTTGACCGCTTCGTACACTGTAAAGATGGTATTGGGACCACCCTCGACTGCAATGCAAACAGTTGGTACAAATAGATCCTCTACAGGAAACAAATTCAATCAAAGTATTATTAGATAGTATAGCCTATTACATAGATATTTAACTTTTTAAGCTGGTGGATTGTTGTGGCAGGGGTTTATACTAATATATAAAAATATTATATAATGTATAATATAATTATATAAACATATTATATAAATATGTATAATTCCTTTTGATAAACCAAATATTACTCACTGTTTTTTGTTGTTGACAGTCTTGCATGGCTATCAGTCAGACTTCGCCTGGCTATCAGTCAGCCAGGCGAAACTGTCAACAAAAAAAAACAATGAGTAATATTTGGTTTATCAAAAGGAATTATACATATTTATTGCTATTTGAAACCAGATGAAACTATTTACCCACATATTATATACACATAATATACAAATATATTATAAAGACAATCTAAATGGATTTTAATGGTTTTTAGTTATTTATTAGTAACTTGTTTTAATTGAAATGTAAATAACATACAATTTGGCCCTTAGGCCATGAAACGTTATACGACTGAGGATACATCACAATGAATTGTAGAACTGTTTTAATCGTTAACCAGAGCCTTGCAGACGTCAAGGTTCCTATGCATGATGCAGGACTTAACTCTTTCGCTACGGCGAGCCGCTCACAGCGGCGCAGATAAAATATGCAGTTTGAGCGGAAAGCCGCTGACAGCGGCTTGTTGACGTCACTGTAAACAAATAAGGATATCCCGGGGATATCCCCATGACGTTTGCATATATTATATTGAACAACAATCTACATGACTTTTGACCCTATTTTGAGCCGTTGTGGGCGGCTTTCCATCTGAATAAAGGCTGAAACAGGCTTCAAGCTGGCATTGTTGTTTTGAGTAAAATTTAAATGGCTTGAGAGACGTAATTTAACTGCAGAAGAAGTGCTTCGCAGACTTGCACAGTGGGATGTCAATGATGATGATACCCAGAGTGATAGTGATTGTTCAGATACTGCCACTGAATCACAAGATGACATGGATATTAGCAATGATGATAGTGTAGGCCTAGCTAGTCATGATAGTGAGGGTAGTGAAAGTGTGCATGACACTAGCACCAACGACGGTGACAGTGACAACTTTCAGCCTGTACCAAATCGGAGACGGAATGTCAGAGGGCGTGGTCGTAGACGTGGACGTGGTCGTGGTCCTGTCCGTGGCCATGGGCAAGGTGGACCCATTGCCGATAATTGGAATAATGTGACCAATTTACAGAATGATGCTGCGAGCCTTGTATTTCCCTTTCAACCCACTCAACAGAGGAACCCTGGTGTGCAAGCACTTTTGGATGAGAATTCAAGTGAGTTAGACTGTTTGTTTGAATTGCTGTCAGATGACATTCAAGATGACATGATTTGTATGATAAATGAGTTTGCTGAATACAGGAAACGTACAAATAATCCTCCAAAGCGTAGGTCTGTGTACAACACGTGGAAGCCAATTGACCGCCATGAACTTTTGAAATTCCTGGCCGTACTTATTGCCATGGGTCTCAATAAAAAGCCATCAATAAAGGAATATTGGAGCATGTTCCCACCTTATTATAACCCATGGTATCATAAGATGTTTTCAAGAGATAGGTTTGAAGTAATCTACCACACAATGCTTCATTCATCCGATATTGATGCACTGTCGAAGGACAAAATTGAACCCTTTTTGAACAAACTTCTTGAAAAGTTTCAGGAGGCATTCTAACCATTTCAGAATCTATCGTTGGATGAAATGGTGATTGGGTGGAAAGGACGTTGGAAATACAAGCAGTACAATGCTTCCAAGCCCAGAAAGTATCACATCAAGACATTTGGACTCTGCGACAGTATTACTGGGTATGTGTGCAACCTTCTTGTGTACTTTGGGAGAGACACTTCGTACAATCCTGATCTAGGCAGGGGCAACGGTCAAGCAGAGAAAGTGTTTGAGTATTTACTGAGGCCTCTCGGTAAAGGTCATCATGTTTTTGCTGACAGATACTACACCACAGAGAAACTGATTAGGTATCTAATTGAAAAGAAGACTCACTTCACTGGCACACTAGCTCTCAATCGGAAAGGTTTTCCACTGGAACTGAAGACGCTGAAACTGAACCATCGAGAGGCTCGGTGGTACAGGAGTGATGATGATAAAATACTATGTGTGATGTGGAAAGATAAGAAAGGGAAGTCAAAAAAAGAAAAGAAGCCAGTTGTTGTTGTGTCAACACAAGCTTCGGTCAAAACCAAACTCATCACAAGAAAACAAGGTGATCCATTCAACATCCCGGAAGTTATACAGGATTATAACATGTCAATGAATGGATGTGATCGCATGGATCAATCTGTGTCATACTATGGACAATTCAATCGCAAAACGATCAAGTGGTGGAAACGCATCCTCTTATGGCTCTTGGAAATTTGCCAGGCTAATGCTTACATCTTGTATTGTCTGACACGTGCAGATGACACTCCCAAGTTGAGTTTGAAGATGTTCAAGAACAATCTTTTGATTCAAATTGAGAAGGCAGCTATTGCGAACCTTCCTCCCAATGCTGATATATCCAGACCGAGATCAGGGAGACCCTCAATTTTTGAGAGATTTCAAGGGAATAGGCACCTTGTGAAGTATGTCAAGGATGACAGAAACTGCGTGGTTTGTAGCAATCCTGTCACTCGCAAAAGGACAAACTTTGTGTGTTCTGGTTGCACCGGCAACCCACATCTCCATCCAAAGGAATGCTTCTACCAGTATCATACATCAAACTAATTCACATTTCAGTCAAGTAATACTCAGACTCATATACAATAAGTAATTTTCATAATAAAACATTTATTTCAGCATTACTACGATGAACCAGATATCAATTTTTATAGTTTCTATTTTTTCAAACAATTTTTAATTTTTCTACTTTGACGTCATATGACGTCACATATGAGGTCATATTGTCTATACCAAAATTATACAATTAGACAGAGGAGGTCGCAATGATAAAGAATATATACACTTTTGCTATTTTTTCCCCTAATTTCTAATTTTTCAATTTATGACGTCATATGACGTCATTATGACGTCATTATGACGTCACATGTCATATTGTCTATACCAAAATTTATAATTAGACAGAGAAGGTCTCAAGGATAAAGAATATATATACTTTTGTATATATTTGAAAGCCAGTTAAAAACTTATAACGCTTTTTCTATATATCTCCTATTTTCCCCAAATTTCCTAAATTTTATTCCGTCCAGATATGAGAAATATTGAATAGGAAATTACGTAGTGAAAGAGTTATAAAGTATATAGGACGTGTATATATATACACGTACATATACATACACATATATATATACGTATACACTTATATATATATATATATATATATATATATAGAAAACATGAAGAGGAGTCCACGTGTGTTCATATGGATAATAAAGAAGAAAGAAAAACAGGAAACGGAGTAGACTTTAGAACACTATTTTATTACAACATGAATATTTCGACCTGACCTCAGGTCCT